GGAAATGGCTTTGCGCTGAAATTTAGAGTCTGCTAAATAATCGCTAATGGAAAGTCATACAGCGATCTGTTCCAAAGAGAAAATTTGTTCCATACTAATTGCCGAAGATTTTCATTTATATATATATATATATATATGTATGAAAATTAATGAAATGTTTTTTTTTTATTTTTCAAGTTTTTAATAATTTTTTATAGTGCCAGCTATTATTTTTTGTACCACAAATTAGTTTAACCGAACATGGGGCGCATGGCGATAATTTCAGCAAAAAACTTACAAGCGATTATTGATCATATATTTAAGTGTTAAAAAAAAAATTATCTTTGAAAAATGTTGACAAAATAGCAATGTTCGGATCCATTTTAGCCAAGCGTGCTTAATTTAAGTGGTTCTTTGACCTATGCCTCCTTTGGTCCAAAATAAATAAAATAGCACATTTAATCTAGCCGTCCAAACTCAAAGAAATGCAGAGATATTTGAAAGAGAAACTCTTTTCCCTATATTCTAGAATGTTTAAAACCATTAAAAGTCATTTAACGAAAAATATTTTTGAAAAATTTGTTTCATTTCGCATTGAATAATAATAAACTAGTACGTGATTTCTTTCATCTTTCATCATCTTCTTGATATACAATGGCGACCTATTAAATCTGCGTCGCCCATGATAATATTTTCGGCTGACTTTACCTGACATTTCCTTTTTTTTCAATAATTCGATTACCGGGATGATTATAACGAGCGAAACTTGGTGCTAATATATTATGACAAAAGATTGCATTAAAGACCTTAATAATTTGCGTGTGTGATGTAGAAAAAGGGTGTTGCCGTACGGTTGAATAGCGAGTCTCGAGTGAGCCGAGCAAGGTTCCGTGGCCTTACCGCGACCTAAAAGGCATAAATGAAGCATTTGTCAAACGCTGCGGATATGTTCTTTGTTAAATCATCGCTTAGCATGTTCAGTGTGGTCTTTTTCGGCATTCATAAGGTAATATGTTAATAGTAAAAGTAATTTGCAATCTATCCCACCAAGGACACGTAGAAAGAACAATGCATGTTCAGGCGGCTCGGACAAGTCAATGCAAAGAAAGTACTTCATGTACTTTATGAGGTTTCCTGGCCCCATGCGCAGGTGTTCAAGAGGGTGCTAAGGGTGTATTCTTCCTGTTGATTATAAAATTTAAGCAGACATTTGTAATTACTATTACAGACTAATTTGTTGACCGCAGGAAATGCTGAAAATGTGCATTTAAATGGTTAGTAAGGCAGACAGGAATTCATATACGAAGTATTCAAGTATAATTACAGCATGTTCCTTAGCAAATTAAACTGTCAGTGGCGTGGCATAAGTACGTGTCCGGGTCAAAATAAATATAATTTCGCAAGAGTGTGCAAAGTGTCTTATAGTCTGTTTAATATCTCATTCTACATAAACAATTTGTCGTACATCGGTTTTGTGTAAATGTGTCTTTTTTTCTTTTTTTTTTTTCTAAAGATTTTCGACCATAGTCCAATGCATACATCGACAACGGCTCAGTTGCATTACAGCCATACGTACATAGTAATCTCACTTGTCTAATTGCGTTTAGCGGAAGTGCACATAATTTCAAGTCAATTGTCTATTTCTCGTGTTACAATTGCAACGTACACAATATTCAAGCAGTCAGTAGCTGCTCGTACCTACAACTACGGCAAGGAGAATTGAGTCAAGAGAAGTTCGAGAGAACGAGACTTCATTTTGATAACATCTTTCTATACAGTCTGTCTTACGAAAAAAAAACAGAGCCATTATGGAGGGAGAGTGAAGGTGCTTGTATATGTCCATCTATGTTCGTCGGGGCTGTTAAGCAAACACTTGAACAGAACAATATACAAAAAATTATTTCATATAGCGAACGACGGGTATCGTCATGTTGTTCTTTTTTGTTTTTCTCCCTTAACAAGTGTTAAATATGAGCATTTGTCCGTGTAAGCAGTAAATTCTTTACTTTATGGTCTGATAAGAATGTATGTTATGAGGGTTGTAGAAATTTCCAACTATATTCCAAGTTATTTCATTAAATATTTAATTCTACACTAATTGAGTTAGGCGGTGGTAAAAACGGGTTAAAGTCTCTGTAAATGAGTGGTAAACGTTTCGCAGTCTTACGTGAAGCAGCGGCATATTAATATAAACATAGCTATATTGGCTTGGGCAAGTTATACTTCAGGGGTGCTTGCAACGTCTGCAATTCTGTGCAATCACAATTGATTAAAGCAGAATATTTAACGCAGAAGAGAGATTAATATATTTTAACCATAGTGAATTTATTTCATGGAACACAATATATAGATGTCGCTACTATTGCCGAATCCATATGATTTTTAAATAATACCAACAACTTTCAAAGGAAGTGTGTTCAGATTTTGCGACATTTCGACCATCAAATTACAAGTTACTTATTTGGTCCCTTTGGACGTTTTCAGCCGCTGTCCGTCCAGCTGACTATAGTATGAAAAAAAATTTTTTTATTTTGCCTAAAAAGCGCCAACTAGGGCTCTGAGTCGTCAACACATTATCGAAAGCGCTAGTAAACGCGGTACCCACTTCAAACAGATGCCCCTCGGGGCAAATGCAACATAGTAAATATGCTATGTTCTGATATCATTAAGGTGCGCCTATTATCTCAGACAACTTCGTTTTTCGCTCTTCGGAAACGAATTTATGTGTTCTGTAACAAATGCTGAATTCGGGCGACTAGACCGTTCAGCATAATCGCTGCTCACACGGCTTTATTCAAAATTAGCCAACTATCCGCAAATTTATTGGACATTACTTCGACAGACAAGAGTCACCATCAGCATCCCGCAAAGAAATGCTGATTTTGAACAACTCTCTATCCCATCGAAACGCAACGTTTACTTCACACACGAAATTCAGATTTTTCAATTGTTTTGAAAATTACAAACTCCGCTCATTAAAACAATTGTAACTTGCAAAGGAATCGTTGGAATGCTATGAATTTTTGAAACATTTCGTTTGAAAGTTAGTGCTCTTTGAAAATCGTATTAGTCTGTGAATAGTGACAGCATCCATATGTCATGCTACAAACTTGTTGACTGACATCTTATTCTGAGCCTCTTAATCCGGTAATAACGTCGATAAATTCGTCTTATAAATCTTGCAAAGTCCATTTAGTCGTATCTGTTGGCCGCGTCTCTGTTGTATGGGGGACCTTCAATAGTCGGAATAATAAAAACTTTGTGTTGATAGAATTTCCAAAAAATATTCTTTTAGTATAACTTTAGCGGATTACAAATTATATTTGATGCAAATATTAAACGATTCGCGCTCTAATTCACTATACGTGGTGATGTCTGGGGAATATCCGCAAGACTTAATATTTATCGCTTTATTTTAAAGAGACGTTCTTAATCAAAAAAGAGGGAACCTTTTTTCTTTTTTTTTTATTCCAAAAAGGGGGACAACGAAGCGGTACACTAAGGTGGCGTAATTAAAGGTATGGATCATATTTCAAGGCGAGCAAAGTAGAAACATAAGCGAGCATACCACTTTTTTAAAGGACTTCGCTTGAATTAGACATCTTTTTTTCACCTCCCGTTTCGTATTTTTTCTTTTTCGTCTTGAGTTCTAATGCCATAAGAAATTATTGCATTAAGTTACTATCCATATAGAAGGGAATGCAATAAAACACCAACTGCGCAAATGTCGTAAGCTGCCATTATTGAATGCAGCGTATTGAGGGAATTTAGGCGTTGCCTACATTGGCTGCTATTGTTAACTGAATTACTTTTTATAAGGGCTTCATAGTAATACTTTTATAGTACATGTATTTGGGAACAAATCTTCCTTTAAAGTAAAGTTCAGCTATTGACCTACTTTCGGCGGTTTCCTTCCTTTTTTTTTTTTTTTTTGAGCCTTCGCTATTAACGAACTGCACGTTCACTTCAAATAAAGGACAAGGACAATATATAAGGAATTAACTGCGAATTCTATATGTACTTACATATAATCATTCTCGTAATTTTGTTGTGGCATTCGAACGAGCACCTACAATTATTGCATGTGCGGCAACAACTAGCGTGAACGAAACATAAAGTTAATTGCGTTTTTTCTCACTTTCGTATATTTCTTTTACAAACGTTGCAACTATTAATATGGTACATATCGGATTGCCACGTACGTGCACTCGCCAAAGAAAAAAATCTTCTCTTTAACTATTAAACGGTAGTTTTGTTGGGCATGACTCTGTACATCATGCGACGCACGCAAGAATATTTCAGATTGGTGTACTAACAGCACATGTTACGCTATTTCAATTACGTCCAAGAAGGAAGGTATATTAATTCCATAGCTTGGTAGGTTATAACGCCATTCTCTCTTTCCGCTTCCGCGTTTGCAATGCTAGCCCACTTATGTGCGAGTTACTGCTTTGTCGATGAATGAATTCAGTTGAAGAAGAGACATAAGTATTGAAAACAATTCCATTTCAACAATGGACATCGAAGGCCTGCTATTGTTAATAAGCCAACCTTCATAAGGTTACATTTCTACGGCTTTACGTGGCTCAGTCTCTCTCTCTCTTAATAATGGCTAAAATTTAAATTGTTTTGTCACGTATTCCCTCGTATTAAATCGACAAATTTTTTCTTTCTTTCTAGAATTCCCATAATTTGGCATAAGCCACATAAATTTTCCCGTTTATTTGAAATTCAATAATGCTACGAGACTGACTGAACGACATGGTGTTATCATCAAAAGCGCGAAGACGAAGTTGTACATCAAAAAGTAGAGAAATCTTGCATAAGGCATTCGTTGTTGTCAACTTTCTAACTCTTATACAGTTCTAAGAGGTAAACTTAAATAATAACTTTAAAATTGCTTGTGTCTGTAATTTCGCAATACAAAAAAAAAAAAAAAAAAAAAAAAAAAAAAAAAGAGACAAAAGGAAATAAATAAAAATCAAAACGAAAATGATTGTATGCTCACAACTATTACTCACCTAATTCCACATAGAGTTTAGGTCGTACATTCTCCTGCCAGGCACTTAAATTTCCAATCACGAATAGCGTCAGTATGAGGAAGACTTGCGTGGCAACACTGCAATCTGCACAAAATACATTTCGTACCGTATGCGTGGTGGCATGCGATTTCGATTTCTTTTTCGACTTTTTTTCCATTTTTCTTTATTTGATTTTTTTTTTTTTTTGCTTTTTCTTTCTAATTTAATCTTTTATCAGTTTCGTAATGTTTTGGGAATTGTTTGTAATATTTTCAAAATATTTTTACTTATTTATTTATTTTTTTTTTATTGTTAATAAAAACGAAAAAGAAAAAAACGGGTATTTCATGGATTCTATGTCATTTTCAGTTAAGATTTTTTTATGAGAAAAACAAAATTGTTCTATGAAAAATAAAAACTATTTACGAAAGAAAGGAGGCATTGCTAATATTTATTGTTTTCCTCTTTTTTTCTCACACGCGCTCAACTCTATTAAAAGTTCGTAATTTTTTCATATTTTTAACAGCTGCATAAACTGCATTCAATCTGCAAAGAGAAGAAAAAAAGTTTTAAATCTTAAAAAATTTCTTAAATGGAATTCTTTTCTTCTTAAACATATCACAGCTGCATGGCAGCAAAAGTCGCAATAAACATATTGTAAATTTCTATATATAAACTTTTACTTGAATCCTGGCTAAAATTGCTCGCGGAAAAAATATGCGGGCCAGAGATTTTCAAAACTCAGCGAATTTGCATGTGGTAAGTAAATGAGTTAACTTCAACTTACATTTGATTTCAATATTAGAGGCTTTGTCGTAATTAATCAAAAAAATGTATAAGTTGTTCGATGTTTTCTTCTCGTAATCTCAGGTAAAACACAGCTAAGCCGGAATAATTAAGTTAATCATGTGAACTCGCGTAAATCATATAAAACGGATGCATGCATGTTTTTGTTCACTTGATTCGTTCAATGAAGTGAAATAATCCTTCCACATTGTCAGCAGGTACAAATTTTTTGTTTTGGAAACTTCTCATCAGTATGAAAAGTCAAACAAAGTTTACGAGAAGTATGCAAAGTTTCCCAGAATAGTACATTTTTCACTATTTATTCGTTGCAGAAATATCAATAGATTCAAGCTCAGTTTAATATCCTGATAATTATTAACAAACCATTTTACTGTAATTTCGTTGTTCATTGACTTACGGGACCAGCTTTCAATGAAACTCTCATTCTTTTTGATTACTATTTTGGTGTTAAATTTTATTATCTTTTTGCAACTCTTTCGTGCATGCTCTGCATGGTCCCACATATATTACAACTCAATCGCAGTTCCCACACTTTTAAGTGAGATCAAGCCTGAGTGCATATCTATTTAATAGCAGTTTTTAATAGTAGTTTTAGTAGTAGTTTAGTAGCTAATGAGCCTTTTAACTCATGGTTACCATTTAACCCCCAAGACTCATGGTGTGATTACTGCTGCTATTTCAAAAGAGATTTCTAAATCAAAATGAGTTCTTCTCAAAGAAAGAAAAATGTATAAAAAAAAAAAAAATTCGAATGGACGTTTTGTTACTTTAAGCGTGGGGGTGTCAGTTAGGCACTCAAGGTGATTTTCACACCACTTCTACATCTCGTCTGTTATTGACTACGATGATCTTTAAGCGTCAGTGTTTGTGCTATGGCTGTTCGTTTAAGACTGTAAGCTAAAAAAACTGCGTCAAACTTTACCTGCAATCATGTCAACTCGAACAGCCGTCGTTGAATAGACTTAGCAAGCTTACGCATACATTGTTTTTGCGTTTATTTCAGACCAAAATGAGTGAATCGATTAGTCAAAGAGTTGTGCATTGGTGAATAGTACTTTTTCCATAGCTGGTTTATTACCTAATTTTTCTTCAGACTATTCTCGAATTCCGAAAAAATGTTTCGTGTTTATATTCTTCAACTGCTATGCCAAACCGTTACATCTTACCTTTGAATTTCCCTAAATGTTTTGTACAGTGGCTGCTTTCGAAGAAGTGCATGCGCAAATTCAAATAGTGCGAAGCCGTCCAATCAAATTTACTAACGCACTGGCATCCAACTACAGAAAGGAAGTGAACTAAAATAAAGGTGGTGTAAAGAAGGGAGAACAAATGTGTAGGCATTGAACGATTCTTCTTGCAACCATAAGGGTCTCCAAGACATTATTGCCTATAGAAATTCTGATGAATAATAATCCCTTCAGAAAAAGGCTTAATTTTTAATACTTTATGGTGGAAATTGATTCGTAGCAACAATTTAGAAAAAAAAATTAGCGATGGAGAATTTGGATCACATATGTCTATTTTTTAGACCCTAATGTATATAATGTAGGGTTATCACGAAAAGTAAGCCGGTGCATAGAGGAAAAGTCTATTTTCTAGCTTTTTATGGTAGAAATTCAATTTCAATAAAAAGTGTGCCAAATTTAGATCACATGATGTGCTGTTTCAGACATCTTCCAATATGCGGGCGTTCACGAAAAGTATGCCTTTGCATAAAAATAATGTGCAATTTTTGGTGTCTTACTACCAACACGAGCGAACAGCTGCACTAGACGAAGTGGTGTAAGGCACCTCAGGGCCGGCCATGCCGACTATAATTTTCTTTTTTGTTTTGAAGAACACATTAAATCATTTTACGAAAGTTTTATCAGAAATATAAAGCTTTCGACCAATATGTGTGTTAAAATTTACCCAGGCTATCAAGAATGTAAATATATACACATATGAATATATAAAACGTATATAGAAATGCGAATATGAAAATACAGAACATAAGTATTTCATTATCTATAAGTGTATGCCTTGCAATTGTATAAAATGAAACAACTGAAGTGGAGCATAATTCCCAAAGTGCTGCAATTTCCTTTACTTTAAGTTCTGTAATCATCTGAAAATGCATTTCTTTAGATAAATTTGAAAACCTGTTTAACTGGTATACCGATCTAATGCATGATTAAAATCAAGTATTTCGAAAAGTACTCTGCTGAAGTATTCAAAGCAGTGAATAAGCGTAAACAGAACTCAATAAATCTTTTAGAATAAGTAGCATATTTCGATATTAAACACTTTAAATTTAAAGTTCACGCATTTCTGGTTTCCTTTTAATATGAGAAAATTAAACTCATCCCTTTCTTGTCGAAATTTTAGCGCTTTGTTTGTGGCATAATATACCGGAAAATTTGCCATAAAAAAAGTTAATGTAAACCATTAAAATCATTTAAAATGAGAGATTTCTTCTAAAATATTCTTTGATAAAAAGAAAACAATGCAAATTTAAAGAAGCGCTTTTGCGCTCACCATCAGCCATCTCATCGTCAAATCGAACTAACGGAACAAACAAGAAAATTGTATTAGATCATCCGGTTGGCCGAATCATTATACACTATACCCATCCACTCTCATCCCGCCTTTAACAGCAAAGGAGAAAAACGGCAAAAGCAAAAACAAATTTCGACGCCCACCATATTAAGTGGCTAATTTTTCCCACTTCTGTAGGACGCACAAGGAAATGTCTATCGCACGCGCATGTATGCTTTATAGTTTGCGAGTACCAGAGAAGTAAATATGAAATCGGAATTTGCCCGTAGATATCTTAAACAACCGCGTGTATATATCTGAAATTTTATCTACCTTGGCTATCTAGCAACAATAAACAATCGTAATAACAAGGAAAACGTAAAGTTTTGTACTAACAAAAAGAGTACACGTCGACAGCATTTTTTCTGCGCCCGAACGATGTAAAAGAAGGTGTTTTTGTATCGTAATCTAACCCGGGATGAAAAGTCGATTTATTTTGAGAATCCCAGGCATAAGAGTTTATGCTAGATCCGGACGTACCCCGACTGCGAGGCTGAGTCGCTTTGGCAGGAAAACGGTATTCTACGCTTGGTGGGAAGAGAAGAGTGAAATGGATAGCACCAAACATTAACAAATAATCGATTTGGCTATTTCGCTGTTTCAAAAGCAAGCGAAGAGTCGAAAAAAAAATCCATGTGTCCCCAGGCAAGGTTGCTTCGCATTACGTTTCGGAAGCATTCATATGGGGAGTGCTAGGCCGTGCAGCTTACTAACCGAACTCCAGGCTTTCCGATCAACTCTTGTTTGCCTCAATTGCAAACGCACTTTACTTCTTAAAGAAATATACAAAAAAAACCGAGCTGCCTTGCCGTAAAAGAGCAACTGTTTGTTTGCCGTGACATCCATAAATTGTACAACTAACAACGGACCATTTTCCGAATAGATATTCATACGATAATAAAAGCGTATTTTCAATGTAAAAAGACCAGTTTTCTATGTGCATACTTGGTGGAAAGCATGCTCTCAATTTATGTTGCCAGGCGTGATAAGCCAAAAACAGCAGCATAAGCACTAGGAAACTTGGAGTTAACTGATATTCCAGCGCTCGATTGCGAAAAAAAGATGAAAATTATTTGATAAACATAATGAGTTCTCCAGTTCTCGTAATCCGGCAAATTTTTTATTTACTACAACAAAAATATGCTTAAAAGCTTACAAACAGCATTCTTCAAGACAACCTCTCTGAGTTGACGTTTCTTTCTGCCCAGATACGTAAATGTCATACAGAGAAACTCATTACACACTTGGCGTAGTTACTTTTACTCATATCACTTTAGTTTTGTGATATTTCTTTCTTCTATTTTGTTTTAATCTTTTTATGACATTTTTCTTTTCATGCTTGTTTAACTTTGTTTGTTTTTTCTTTATTTTTTTCTAGATTTTTGTCATTATTTGTTTTTATAGGCTAAGGCCAAATGAGGTAATGTTACACGGTACACCGCACCCACTAACCTATCAGTCAGCGTCATTTCGTTTACTCGTTGTGTTAGCATTTTGTGAAAGCGGCAACCTCACACAACAACAACGTAATGACTAGCTTTTGTGTGCACGCTCTAAGATAAAACGAGCGAGCAACTGATGAGAGGGCGAATGATGCTGATAGTTTACGGGTAGATATACGCCATTCTTTTGAAACATTTACCTTAAGTACATAGAGATGCATGTATGGATTTAACTTGTTAGCAAACTCACGCACACATACGTCTCGACGATGTTGGTTGCATAAAGTACGCCATGAAATACACTTTTATACATATATGTGTACGTGTACACATATATATACATATTCATATATATATATATATATATATATATGCATAAATACGTAGATTTACACGTATTGACATAATAAGTGGAAGAAATGTTGGTAATTAAAAACTGTAACACTTTAGTACACCTTGCGATTGGAAAATTCCTACGCACATATATATACGTACACTTTACGTGTATGTACATAGAAAATTGTTTTAGAGAACTGTTTGCTTATATATGTATGACAGTCTATTTGAGTGCTTGCAAATGTCGATGGGATTACTTGCAGTTCACTAACACTTAAAACGCAGGCAGCAACACATTACAAAAACTAGAAAAAGGATCAAATGTCAAATTAAGTGCACAGAATACGCAAAAGCAAAAAGGTATTCATTCATTCGTATCCTTGT